GCTTGTCTCGGACACTGAAAAAGTAGGTGGGCCAACTGTGTATGGTTGTAAACAGTGCAGCCTGCCACTGCACATTGAGTGCTTCGGCAAGCACTATCGTCGTTACATGTGAATCAGACTGTTTAAGTCATCAGTATGTTCTGTTCTTGTTCTTAACAGTTCATCAAGTCACTGACACAAGTTGATATTACTTATTTATTATTTTTTTCTTACTATTTTTGATTGAAAATATTAATGTTCAATTTACTTTTACATTGTTTATTTTTGTGAAGGAGTATCTAAATAAACTCAATTTCCCAGGAAAGCCACAGGTGTAAGCTTTCAAATACTTTTTGAATTTTGTTTCTATCTGCTACAGAAGCTGAGATATCAATAATTTACTAGGCGTTGACACAGTTGCTGAATTTACAGAAAAACTTCAGGTTTTAGGGGTATTTTTTAAAATCGGCCATAGGTTTTTAAGGTGTTTTTTTCCAGGCGTTTTAGGCCTAAATGGGTTAACATCTTCTGCTCCAACAAACCGAACACATTTCACGTCACTCATTCCAACAGTTTACTCTCTAAACTAAACTTCCCCGATGTCATCAGGAGGCGTTTCCACACACTTTAAACCCGTCATCCTCTGAACCCAAACATCGCTGAGCTCTGCCATCTGCAGCCTCTCACCCCCCCGCCCCCAACCACAGCCAGCCCCACGTGTATCAGCTCCATCTTCACTCCTTCCTGCAGCTTCTGCCTCCGTATGCAAAGCAGCCTCAACTGAAAAAAGCTCCTCTTAACCGATCTACCTCGCCACACAGCCGCCGCGTCGGTCTGCTTTCACTCACGATAACCGTTGACCTGCTTTCTAAGAAAACAGGGAATCCAGTTTTCAACCTGCAAGTTTCAACCCGCAGATCTGCAGAGATCTTACCTTCTGGCGTTACTCCTGGAGTTTCTGTGTGACATGTAAGTCAGCGTCCTGTGCAGGAAAATAGGCTGGAGAGCAACGAAGAGAGGAGGAGGGTTATTATCTACCGTTACGTTGCTGTTTGAGAGGAAGAGGAGGAGGAGGAGGAGGAGGAAAAACTCACAGCGATCAGGTTTCTAGTGCGGAGAAACCTGTAGATTTGTGTCGGCTCTGCAGAAAAAAAACAAAACAAAAACTGATGTTTTCAACTCTGAAAGGTGAAACATTAAAGCCATCAGAAATTAGATTAAAATAAAAGAAAGAAAGACATCTTAGCTGCGGCTAAGATGAATACATAAACATTTATACAGCAGAAACATTTATAAAGCCTGGCAGGTTTTTAACGAGCAGAATCAGCAGTTTATGACCAGAGGAAAAAAAACAGAAGAAAGGCAAATTAATACTGATAAAAATAGGCTTTGTTACACCTGATTGGGATTAGAGAAGCCATCAGACACCTTATGGAACATAAATGGATTATTTCTATTCAGACTGAAGGACTAAACTGACAGGAAAAGTCTGGATCATTTGTACTAACTAAAGTAATCAGATGTAGCGCCATTTCCACGACCCTTTTGAAACCGTGCTGAGAACGGTCCGACGGAAACGAGATAACGGTTAAGTGTAAATGATACGCAGATCTAACCGGACCGTGCCAGACACAACGGAACCATGTCAACACGGTACTAGTTCATCAGTAAGGCTCGGCACGGTTCAGTTCTGGTGTGGATGTCAGATAAAGGGCGCATGAGCAGACTGCCTCATCTCCTTACAGTCAGCCTCCATAATCAGGAAATTTCAGACGTTCATAAAAATCCTAGATTCCCTACCGTGCCGCATGATTTCCAGAGATGATTCTGCTTAACAGTGTGATGAACTTGTTGTTTCCTGCCTCTGTAAGCCCTAATTAGACTAATTAGTAGGGGTGTAAATAATAACGGTTTTGTATCGATGCATCGATCCAAAAGCCGACGATCCGATGCATCGACACGTATCGAGTATCGATTTATGTTTTTTTTTTCCCCTCCGGTCTATTTTTATCCATTGGACGTAATTCTCCCTCCCGTGCTGCGGTGCCACTAAACCTATTTTGCCCTCCTACCTCGCTTCCTGGTTATACTCTTACAGCAGTGTGTTGCAGTGAGCTTGATGCAGACATTTTTAAATTATGCTCAGTATTGAAGCGTGGTCTGAGCTACACGCTGTGGGTCTAGATACGGCCGAGGCGGCGAGGAAGTGGGGACGAGTTTAGTCCGACGACGGAGGGACATGAGGGCCAAAAAGAGCGGAGATCCAGGTGGAAAAAGGGTCCCAGCGTTCTCGCTCACCTCGCTCTTCTAGCGGGTCAAACTTCACGAGTTGTTTTCCACAATTTCGGTCATAAAAACAAAACAAGCCGGCCTCCTGTCTGCGGTCAGCTACAATCTTGGAGAGGAGCAGCGGAGCGTCTGTGGAGGGGCAGGACGTCTGGAGCCGAGGTATTGCATTGCACTCATTTTTTGCAGTATTTTTTGATGCACGTCCTTTCAGAATCTATAACGCAGGGGGATTATTATTTTTCAGTGAATGAGGTTTTAATAGGAATAGGTGGAGTAAAACTTTTCTACTTCTGTTATTTGCTGTAGTTTCTCAAAAAAATGCATAACACTTTTACAGCTTTAATTGATTTATTTCAAATTTGAAACAAAATGAACCAATTAATTGAATCGTATCGTGGTGTATTCTTGAGAATCGAAAATAATCGAATCGTTGGGTCAGGAAATCGAAACTGAATCGAATCGCCATGATGGTTTACACCCTTACTAATTAGATCGTTTGTCGTATCCTCTTCCCATAAGGAGACTGTCAAATAAATTACCAAATTCTCTTCGCCTGATTCTCCGCAAACAAAAGGTTTTTGATCCAATACAAAATATTTACTCATTTATTTTAACAATTACGGTATAATTACTTCTCTAATCGGGTCGCTCTGTCAGCTAAAGGCACGTTTTACAGTCTCTATACTCCAGTTAACCATTAATCAATTAATCAATTACTAAATTGGTTGATTATTTCAATAATTAATCACAAATAATCTGATTGTTTCTGCCCCAATATGATTTAAAACACATCAGGTCTTAAAAACAAATGCATATTAAAAATTAATGCATCACTACATATTTTAAGGTTAAACTAAAGGAGCAATCCGGTGGCGTTTAAGCCATAAAATCATCTCCTCCAGCTCCGTGTTTCTGCTGCGTTGTGTCGCTCTCCGCTCTGCCAGCGGCTCCGACACAAACACTTCACCGTCTGATGACAGCCGACGTTCTCCTGACTCTGCTTCGTCTCTCTGATAGAGACTGAAATGCTTCTGTGGAAACATCTGATTCTTCGCCGTGTCTGTCGACAGCCACAGTAGCAGCAGTTATTGCCGAGGTTTCCTCTAAATGTCGTAATAGAGGGAAACAATCGCAAACTCAAAGTGGTTTTTATTAAAGGGAGATTGTAATTATATTTCTTTAAAAAACTATTTCAACAGTATTTTAATTAGTATTCATTTTCTAGACGTATAAATAAGGTCAATCCCTTTAAGAAGAAGATGAGAGCTTCAAGGTTGTTTCTGAGTAATCTAATAATAGTCCAGCACAGGCAGGAAGGCACGGTTCAAACGAGGAGTAGAGATAACGAGAGGAAGGTTTAAAGCAAAAAAAATGAAAAAACGTTTCATCTTAAGCCGAGCGAGCAAACAACCTGTGGATAAACTCTGAAGACGAGACAGGAAACCAGGATTTCACTCTAAAAAACACTCAAACTGGCCAAACTGGAGGTAGAAATCATCCAATTTAAATCATCTGAAATCCTCCTGCTAAAACCCGTATTAGCTAGATTATTTAAACTGGTCAGATGTGGGTTATTTAAAAGATGGAGATGAGATAGGAACGTTTTTCTTGACTCTCTGACATGATCCTCATACCAAGATAACAGATTCTTTGATTTGAGTCGTGGTTCAACAGTAACCTTTTAAAATCATCCAGAAGTTTCATCTTTAGTCCATTTTTTTCTAAAACATTTATTGTATTTTCCCTGATTTGAGCAGGAAAATAAGACAGTTGGATGATGAAAGAAGATGATTTACACTAAAAATAAGAAAACAATCATCTTATTTCAGATGCATAATATCTAATGATCTTATTCTATTAAAAACACTTCATTAGCTGATCGTGTTTAATCTCAATTTTATGAATCAAGTTCTCAAATCTGCTCATTATAAGAAACGTTCTCTCTTTTATAGATCAGGTTTTGCAGGTTATAGAGCTGGAGCCACTTTCACTGGTTTGAATAGATACTTTATCATCATAATGAGGCCTGAACCTGCAGCTGGATCTGAATCCAACCATCACTCTGGACGCTACTGGTCTGGTTTGACTCAAACTGGATCTATACTGGAGTCACTGTAACCAGTTTCTCTTCTCAAAGTAACAAAAAGATGCCGCCTGTAGGAGGCCAGGCTGATATTAATCTAAAAAGCCGGATTTTGGATTTCAGACGCCAACAAAATGAAACGTTGCAAATGTTTTGACCGCAGAAGATATTTAATGTGATGCTGCAACAATTCAAATTAATTAAATCCCATTTATCTACAGATAATTTTTCAGAATACAGCTAAATTATCCTTGCTTTGTAATTTTGCAATTAACTTATTGGTAAAAATAAAAAAATTAACTTAAATAATGAACTTAAAGTGATATTCTGGCATCCAGATGTTGACCAACTTAATCTTTCTTCTTTTCTTTTTTTTTTTTTATGTAGAATTGCAAATCTAAGGAGGGTTACATTTTTAATATTGATATATATAAAAAAGACTTTCAATCTTGAAAATAAAAAGTTTTCACAACCTACGTCTAAAGAAATGGGTTCAGATTTTTAAAATAATCTGTTGGATTTTAATTTTACCCGTTTTTGTACCGTGGATTTAAACTGGACCTGAATATTGTGGCCTGAATGACAGAAGAATTAAAATCCCAATTTCTCCTTTATTTACAAATAAAAATTTCCAGATCATTTTCAAAAAATATCATATAATTTAAGATTAATTCAATTCATCTCTATTAGTCCTAATCACACCTGAAATTTCTTGAATAACATTTCTTTGCAAGATCATAATCTGTATTTAAAATTCAGCTTGATGATTTAAGAACCTAATAAAGGATTTGACCAACCTAGCTACCGTAGTTCTGCCACAACAGAAAGCAAATTAAAAAATAACATCATTTCATTTCGACTCTATTAGTCTGGGTCAGAGCTGAAATTCCTTGCACTTTTACAAAAAACAAAACAAAAATACTTTGCAAGATTATAATCTGTATTTAAAAATCAAATTGAAGATTTAAGAAGAACCCAATACAGGTTTGACCAACCCAGCTACCGTAGTTCTGCCACAAGAAAACAATTTACCATATTTTTAAACACAAACATCACCAGGTTTTAAATGCAATATTGTTTGAACATTTATACACACACTGCCACTTTCCTAAAGGAAATGTATGAAAAAAAATCTATGTTTGTGTCTAAAATGTATATAACAGCTGAAATTAATTGCTCTTATGTTTTATTTTGCTTTTTGTTGTGGCAAAACTACGGCAGCTGGGTTGGTCAAACCATTCATTGTGTTCTTCTTAAATCCTCAAGTTGAGTATCAATAATTTCAGATTAAAATCTGTGAATCTAAATGATCAAAATTGAGTAAAATGTCTTTATTCCACTGCTGAACCTGAAGCTTAATAAAAGATTGAACAGTTGGGATGAGAGGAAGTTGAAGATCCAGCTGACAGCAGCAGCAGATGGAGGCTGTGAAACCTTCTCTAAACTTAGCAATAAGCCTGAGATGAGTGTCGGTGTGTCTGCAGGTCGGTGACAGCAGGAACTCACTCTCAAAGGCCTGCAGGAAGAGCTCATGGTCGGCCTGGATCTCCTGCATGCTGGGCTTCTTGGCTGCAGCGGAGGGCGGCTGGTACAACCCGTTGGTCTTTCCTCCAGAACCGAAACCCACATGGTGGTGGCCTCCACCCGAGGAGCTCTGCTTGTGCGGAGCCATGGAGGTCAAACGCTACAGGAGAGGAGCAGTAAAGCCGGCTCCCCGCCTGAAGTGGGGCACAGTGGAAAAATGAATAAATAAAATAAGAAATTCGGCTCCTCTTCCTCCCTTTGTCAAAACAAAAGAGGCAGAGATGGAGGAAAACCGACCGCTAAACTAGAAACACGCCTCAAGTCCTCATTTTGGAGAGTATTTAATTTCCTAATATATTAAATTTGAAGCTGATTAAGCGTTAGAGATCAGCTGTGGTGTGGATGAGGCTGTTTTAGCGGGTAGCAGGTCGAAGAATGCGCGGAACAAGAGAACAGCCTCCGGGGCGAGCTGAGGCGGAAACCCCGGGCTAACCGGTTAGCATCGCCCCAACATCGACTTTTCAGCGAGAAGGACGCTAAAACCCCGACCTCCACGCGGGGAAAAGGGGAAAACACTTAAACCGGTAACAACTGTATCGCTCTTAGGCGGATAATTAACCAAAAATGTGCATTATAATCACCGAGGGTCTGTTAGCAAGTAGGATTCTGAGGTAGGAAAAAGCTAACCGGGCTAGCCCTGATTATATCCTGTTTGAATTTTCAAAGTAAAATCATATTTGCTCTAAATGGAATTTTGTTTCATTGTATTGATATTTCATCTTCCATTGGATTAAAAACAGAAATTCATCACAACATATTAAATTATAGACGTTTATCTTTGTTAGTTTTAATTTTATGGCCTTATAAATTATGGAAACTCAGAGTATAGTTCTTTATAAAATTGAACTATAAACAATATTTTTATACCGAACTTTAAGGATATGGCCAAACTCATGAGGTGGCCCTAAAAAAATCCAGCTCAATCACTTAAATTCTCAGTAATACAGCTTTCTACATACAGGTTTATATTTTTAATAGTCTTAGCAGTTTTAATGTGTTGGTTTTAATCCTTTTTTTTTCTTTGTCACATCTCCATTGGTCAGGCAATCTCAGCAACGACTTTCGTAGTTATATAGTGTTCAGTGTAAACAAATGTTTTCTTCAGACATCCTGCTTAAGTGTAAGCGACAAAATTCTCAATTCAAGTATATGGCCGCAAAGTTGAGTGGAAGAAATAAATGTGGTAGAATATTTCAAGCAATCAATGCAAAAAAGGGGGGATTGTAATACCAATATGTAGATGTCTTGAAAAATATGTTATTGATATTACAGATATTGACCTTTTTTCAGTGTAGTCCTGTTTCTCTGACTGTGACTGGCTGGATGTGCTCTCTTCATCCTCTGACATAAGAGCTCGTCTGCCTGGCTGTGTGTTTCCTGGACGGGGCCGCCTGTGGAGCTGGTTGACAGTTGCCTTTTGTATCTATGCTTCTTTTTCTATGTCTGCTTCTGTCTCCTTGAACCCCAGTGGGCCTCAGCAGATGGCCGCTCACACTGAGCCTGGTTCTGCTGGAGGTTTCTTCCTGTTCAAAGGGAGTTTTTCCTCTCCACTGTCGCTACAAGCATGCTTAGTGTGAGGGATTGCTGAAGAGTCAATGAGTCGATGCAATCAGCTGGTTTTCCTTAGATAGAAAACTTTGAATCAATCTGACTAGATGATCTGGTGAACTGGAAAGTGACCTGAGATGACGTGTGATGATAATTGGAGCTATAGAAATAAACTGAATAGAATTGAATTGTACTGACCTCTATATGGGCCACTTATTACGTGGATACTACTACAACATGAATGTGGTGAAGCAATCTGCCCGAGGTGTTAAAGAAGCACACTTTCAGCTTTTCTGCAATGTTAGTTCTTGTGTCTCTCCTCCTCTCATGGATTCCCGTTGATTTTAGATCAGGTCTGTTTTCTGTTATGAAAGCAGATTTTGGAGAATCTGTCTTTTTTTCTTTCTCCATTGTTTTATTGTCATGAAACTGTCAAAAGTATCCTCTTAAAGAGCAGTGGGCTTTCATTGTGCGGCGCCCGGGGAGCAGTGTGGGGTTAAGGGTCTTGCTCAGGGACCCAGAGAGGCAGTCGGTGGGAGTTGGGCTCGAACCCAGAACCTGAGGTGGTGGCCTAACGTCAAGGGGCGGGTCTAGATGGCCACCAATAGCCAATCACTGGCCACCCCAGCAACCCTCCCAGGTGATTGGTTATTCCCCCTGAGATGTAATTCGATAACCCTGGAACAAGCAGCTCTCCTCTAAGCCTGATGGTGGCAGCAGTGATACCGTCTGGAATTTCCGACTTTGATATTTTAACACCAAAAATTGAATACAGAAATTTAGCAAAAATAAATGTAGAAAAAAATATTCAGAACAATATACAATATGTGCAGAGGGTTAAAGGAAAAATCCGCTCATATTCAGAATTCAAACTTCTGAAAGTCCTTTAAATATGAATTTATTACATCCTGTTCAATAAAAGATAAGTGTTTATAATGAAGAGTAATTTTAATGTGAATGTGCTTTACTGGAGGCATCCATGTTTGTCAAAGAACACTACTGCCACCTACTGGTTAGTGACGTCGCGGTGCGGTATCGGCTGTTGATCAAGTCCCATGTTTTCTTTTAGTCTTTTCTCTCGCACTGTTTACATTTGAATGAAAATGTCATGAAAGCTCTACAAAACAAAATTTCATTTGGTATACACTCTTTGTATTTAAAAGGACAATAAATGTTGTCAGAAAAATCTGCTGTCTTCTGTTATTTATTTGGAAATTAAGATGTTGTTTGCAGTGTCCATTTTGCATAACTGTCATAAAATAACCTTATTTTTGTTTGGAGACACTTTACCCACAATAAAGACGGATGGAGGCGGAAGGTATCTTGCAGAGTTAAAGTTACTTTTGGAAAATTTCTTCCACCCTGAACATGATAATGATGCAGAACCTTAGAGCTCCTTTCAATGACAGATGGTTGCATCCTAGGTGCATAAAGACGCACTTCTGCAGATCCTTCCTTCTATCAGTTCTTAGACATTAAAGTCGTAGGGAAGCGGCTGTTCCAACCGTTACATTTCCGAATTTTCCCGAGTGGTGCCCGACTTTACACGAGTGAATAAAGTGAATGTGATTGGTCGTTTATCAAGGGGGCGGGATTTTTGTGGAGGAAGGTTCACAAGCAAGTTTTATTGTAGCGAGTTGTTTATATAACCGGCTACATTATATTACTGGCTATTAACATTTGATTGACAGATGGCCGTTGATACCGTTGATACATGATTGACTGAATTTAGGTGTTCAGGCTGATGTATAACTAACTGGCCTGCAGAAGATAACGAAGAAAGGATTTCTTTAAAAGTAGAAATTTTCTAACTTTTTGGACAATATGGTCTTCTAAAAGTACATTTACATACATGTTTAAGCCAGAATAATTTGACATTTAATGACCTCCCTACTACTTTAAATCTAACATTGCTCCCAACAAGCTTAAAATAATTTTTTGTCATTGTTTTTAACCTTCATATGTATGCTTCAATTTCAAACGTGTCACTTTTCTGATTTATTATTTATATATCATATATAACATCAGTATATAACACCTGTGTTTTATTGTGAAGGGCCAGAGTGAAACATCCGGGTCTCGTTGCGCTCTCTGCTGAAGGGACGTCCTCTGCAACAGAGCGATGACTCGTGTTTAGAGATCCCGCCTTCTAATTCCTCTATCCAATCACTGCGTTTGCTGCTGGAGTGCTGAGCTGTGATTGGTTGCTATAGACATCAGAAGCAGGAGGCGCAGCGTTTAGGCACGTTTGCCGCCTCCTGCTTTCAGAAGAGCAATGAATCTCAAAGGAAAATTACTATTATTTATTTATTTATTTTATTTATATTTGTCTGTCTTTTCTGAAGAGGTGCAGCGTACGCATTTGCGGTGAAAAAACATGTAGTTATCAAACCTGGGGATAAAAGATTTATTCAGACACATCTCTGATATTCTTAAGAATAATTTGAATAATATGTAAGTCTTAAAAGCTCTAGTTAATAAATACCGCTGATATACTTCAACTGTTTATCCTGTTCTATAAATTATGTACCAGAATTTACCCATTGTGGAACAAAAAAGGGATTTTCTATTCTATGTTTTTTTCTTTTAGATGCTGAACGTTTACTTTGAGTTTGATGATATTTAGTCAGATCCCAACAAAATGTGACCCTCTCTTTTCTGGCTTTGAGCAGGGGCGGATTTAGGAAATTTGGGGCCCTAGGCAAAGACAGGCAGGGGGCCCTCTGAATTGAGAAGATGACTCATAAAACAGACCCATTACACAGATAGAGAAATTAAATCCATTATCTGTTCTACCTTTTGTCCCTCACTAAGCCCATTCTCACTTAGCTGATTGCTCCGTCCTGCTTTTCCAAAAAGCCGACGGTAAAAGTAAATAACCCAGTCCTTCTTTTCACTGTAGGCAAGCCAGGATCTGCTTATCTGTTCTCCATTTTTTTATTTGTATGATAAAGTTGCTGGAAGTAAATATATGCCCATCTCCATTTCTCAGGTCTCCATTAGAAAGGATACCCAAAAGCCGGATGTTTTCCACTTCAACATGAGAGAAAAAAAGCAAAAAAAGCACCCCAATAATTGATTTCTGATCATCTGTAGCAATTTTAAAATGATGGTAAATATATACTTATCAATATAGGGGAATGTCCCCTTCAATGGTTTAATGCTCACTAGTCCATCTCTTGTTCAACAGGTGTCGATTTTGAAACTTAGTTTGCTGCTGTCTGCTTGGACCTTTCTGAACATGTGCAGCAAATGGACTGATCCAATATGGCGGACACTGAAGGCATTTTAGCGAAAGTATTTTTATTAAAATGGTATGTACTTATATAGTGCCTTTATTCAAGTCAGGAGACTTGACCAAAGCGCTTTACACTACATTCATTCACTCACACACTCATGGTAGCAAGCTACATTGTAGCCACAGCTGCCCTGGGGCTCACTGACAGATGCGGGGCTGCCGTACACTGGCGCCACCGGGCCCTCTGACCACCATCAGCATCAATGCAGGTGAAGGGTCTTGCCCAAGGACACAACGACAATGAAAGTCAAAGTCGGAGCTTGAACCGTCAACCCTTCGATTTCAGGGCAAACTCCTACATCCAACGCCACTTATTTGTGCACAAATAAGGAATAGTTGCAATAACTCTACATGTAAAAATAGTTTTATGGGGCCCCCCAGGAACAACTGCCTTGTTTTGCCTGATGGTAAATCCCCCCCCCCTGCCATGGGGAGCAGTGGGCTGTCATTATGCGACGCTCAGGGAGCCGTGTGGGTTTAAGGGTCTTGCTCAGGGACCCAGAGTGAAGGCAGTAGGAATCAAACCGGGTACTTGCAACCTTCTCAGAGCAAAAGCGCTCTGCTCTAACCCACCAGGCCATCACTATCTGCATCACTTTGCTCAACAAGGTGATGAACATTTAAACCTCAGTTGAAGAGTTTTAAAATAAAACAAACAAAATAAAAAATTCAGAAATATTTACAAAAACACAAAAAGAAAAGAAAAACACATAAAGCTCATCCCAGCTTTATGTGAGCAGAACAAGCAGAGTTTCAACAGAACCTTCTTTGGTCCCGGCTGGAGATTGATGCTCTG